AGCACAAATGCTCCACCATCAGATCAAAATCTTTTTCTTGTGCTTTGTCATCGAAGTGGTATGAACCACGGTTTCTTTCCTGTTCTGCAAATACGCAAGCAAAAAGCAAGAATAATAATGCAAAGACAAGCTTCATTATGTGGTTAAACATTTGCTGAACTGCTCACATTTTATAAAGACTATGGTCCCTATTTATACCTCAACTTTTCTTTATCGTTCGCAATCTCTTTTCTTCAGAATTATAGTAATACATTGCGTTCAAATCTTTGTTTTATGTTATGCAATGGCCCAGTGGTAATGAACACATCATTATTTAATAATTTACCTAAGCCGGCTAAAAGTTTTACAACCTATTTAATGCTTTGAAGTTTATTACCGAAGTAGCGTAGTAGAGTGTAACATTATTTAGAGAACTTCATCAGGAGCCCAACTTCCCATCAAAAACGCAATAATGCCTCATCCTTTTGGATGATAGTGATGCTACATAAGAAAGAAATTGGTTTTCTTAAAGTTGGTTAGTGTCATAAGACTGGAAATTACAAAAAAAGCTAAGGTTGGCTATCATGATTAAGAGGGGTATCTTGTTAGAGTTGTGGGGTATTAAGTTCTAATTGGGTTATGATAAATCTCATAATGGTATGGTCACATTGAGTCTTAATGGTAAGGCGTTACCACACTCAAGTGCACTGCCGTCATAATGCAAACACGTGGTAAGCAGTTTATAGTAACATTATTATCCTAAGTAAACTCAACTCCTCCTAACTTCCCTTTACTTCCAAAGATTGAACCGGAAAAGTAAAGTTTGTACGAGTGCGATACCTAGGTCAGAACAAATTGTGTATTTAAATTTGTATGGGTGCGATATCTGGAGCATACTAATTGTGTATACAAAGACATCAGTTTATTAGCTTATCGTGGTCTATACACTCTTAGCTACACACCAAGACCATAAACAGACTCAATGGACCAGAATCTGAGTACTTACAAGTGATTGCCCACTCTTTGCCCACGTTTTGGCAACATTTGTAAATCAGTCGTTAACTGGACCAACTCATGTTTCTTTCATTCACATTTAGTTTTGAGTCATTTTCAGTAACCATGTTAAATTCGACACATTTGTAGCATAGTCACAATACTACTCAATCGATAATTGGGTCAACTCTCATAGAGCTAGCCAAGTTCCCATTTAACTCATTCAAAGCGAATCGATCGAGATCTTCATCGTTGTATGTCGAGGCCTGAGTAAAAGTACGATTCCACCACAAGCATTTGGTGGATTTCGATAATTCCGAAATCAAAGACTCAATGTTCTCATTTGTAATATCACCATTATCATATAGATTAATTTCGAACAAACTATCATGAAAAGATTTCTTCCCATGACCTATTGTTTCCATTGAAAACTCCTTCAATTGGTTCTTGCGCAAGTTGAGCAGTTGAAGCTTAGATGGCCCTTTTTCAAATGACAATTGAAGCTCTCTGATGCTGTTATTTGAAAGATCAAGGATTTCGATGGCATTTTTGTCAGAGGCGAATGTAATGTTGACTTCAGATAACTGATTATCTGAAAAGTCAAGAATCTCGATGGCATTGGGAAGCTCTACACTTATTTCTACTAGTTGATTCTTCGAAAGGTTTAACACTCTTAAAAATTTCAATTGGTCAAGTTGCTGGGGAAATTCTTTAAGTTCGTTTCCAGACAAATCAATTTCTAAAATTGTCTCTGGCAAATCAAAATCAAAGCTTGACAAGTTGCAGGCACTTACGTCTAAACGCCTGAAATTGCAATTTGCTTTGAAATTCAATCTTTCCAATACTGATAAATCGCTGTTTCTGAGACTCGCAGACACAACCAATTTCCCAAATTCAAAAAACCTTTGTTTTGTCTTATAGTTCTCAAACGACAACACTTTGACACTGGATGGTAGCTTAGACCAGTTAAAGCCGAGTATTGGGCATTTGTTGGAATTAATGGTCACAACCTCAATTTGTAGTGGTATATTATCATTGTTACGCCCGATATCAATACTCTCCAAATAATTTTCTGAAACATCAAGCGCTTTCAAACCAGATGGGAAATCAACACTGCATAGCCTTTTGATGCAGTTCCGTGATGCATTTAGTTCGTTTAAATTGTTTGGAAAATCAACTTTATCAACGGAACTAATTCTATTAGAACTAACATCTAAAATCTCTAGGGCCATGGGAAAACTAACTTTATCAACCGAGTCAATATTATTATAGCCAACATCTAAAACTTTCAATGATTCAGGAAATATAAGTGCTTCAACATAATTTCCAAGTCTGGTGTCGGACAAATTGAGTCTTTTTAACACAGCAAATTTTGATAAGTCACAATCCGAAACGTCCCAATTAATTGAGTTACTTCTTAACTCCAACTCTTCAATACCTGTTGGTACTAGCTCAAAAAGTGTAGCGGTGCTTTCCGAGTCAATCATTGGGATTTTCAAAACTTTCAAAGTAGAATGAAACTTCCGCTGGAGTAAAAATTTCAAATTTACTATACCCACAAGCTCAAATTCCCTCAATGGATACACATTCAAGGGAACCATTTCTAGTTCCAATGAAAGGAATTCCAAATTGAACCGTTTCTTCTTCTCGGCATCACCCAATAGCTTCATAAATTCTTGGACATGTGTCTCTTCCAAGTTGCCTCCCCAAAATTCAATAAGCTTAGTGTCGGAGCACGTCATGTAGTTGATCACATTAGATATGGCATGAGGTAATCTATCAAAGTCAAATTCTTGAAAGCATTCTAGTTTGATAACTTCAAGTGAGGGACAGCCTTCCCAAGACTCTACTTCCAAAGAACCACCTAACCTATGACAGCTGTTAAAGTCGAGATATTTTTAGTGAGACATTTTCCCTTCATTAGATATATTTTATAGCTTGTTCTTCAACAAACTATCTACATTTTAAAGTACTGCTACCCTAACACTATGTATGACATTGCTGACTATATTGGTTTCTGATCTAAATGATCAAACATCAACACCACCAGCTACCTACAAAACAAAGGATTTGATTATTTGGCATACTACAAGAACTAATCTCGTTCTTCGACACATTAATTCATTTAATACTATAAAACTAGCTAGCTTCTAACTCAAATCTGAATCATGAATTTTCTTTTCTCGCTCAAACACATCTGAAAGTAAGGGATGAATCCTTGAAAGGTTCATCAATCTTGACCTGTTTCCCAGCTTCTTTACAATCTCTCCCAAAATTTCTTGTATCAGAGGATTCCCCGCTATATTGGGGGTTATAGCAGACCCACAATACGCACAACCCTTTATCATCGAAGGCGTGACAAACCAGGTACGTTTTATGGTTCTGACAAACGGCATTGTCAAAATACTCCAACAACCACCCCCTGACTAATATCCACCCAGATTTCTTGAGAAATGCACCACCTTTAGTGAGTGCTAAACATAATCCTGGAGGAAAACCAAATGTCAGACACTCTAATTTGTCGGGGTGTGTATTTTTAATTTTGTCAATCATGTCACTAAAGGTTTCCTTGTCGAGTTGATATCCATAGTTTGAGTCTACTCTTGGGGCAACATATAGTTCTCCAAAAGTATCTAGATCACGATAAATTGAATAGATAATTAACTTGTCATCAATATTTGCGGCAGCGTAGAATGCTTGTAATGCAATCACGATAATGAAAACCAAAGTTGGTGGTAACATACTCTAATGTAATTAGTGATGGAACTTATACGTTTAGCTTCTGTATGTGTGTATGTGTCGATGTCAAGCTTTCTTCAATGAAATGAGTTTAATTGATGTTATAACTGATTTGGCGGTGATGAATTAGAGCGTACATATATTAAATGAATTTTGTTGTCAAAATACAATACGAAATTTTGTACTCTTAATAAGCATATAGACGTGCTTCCATTTACTTTACTATAAACCACTCAATCTTACCCTCTTGAAGGTCGGTATCTTCTTGGTCTTCTTCGATTTGCCTTTGCTATCTGCACTGCCTTCTCAATATCCTTCTGAGTATAGTTGCCAGACTCTAGAAACTCGATAGCTGTATCATACAAGGTTCGAGATTGAAGG